TCTGCAAGCAGATGAAAACCACGTTGGGAGCCAACAGCAGGCAAGTTACAAACACAGTTAAATACCACTGTCAGCAGAAGAATTCTCCAACAAGAATGTGAAAGCCAATGGCCAAATCTAACAGCGATCACTTCTCTGTGCACAGTGTCACCTGTCACATACAAGAATTGTCAGAGTATAGAATGTTGTGAAATAAAGTCAGGGTAAATTTGTGGTTTAATTGTGGCTATGCAGAACAGAGTGAAGAAGTATTAGGGCAGCTGAGATGTAGTGTCTTGTGGGAAACATAGTATATAATGCCCCATAAGCAAAGAAGAAGGGTAAATGAAGGATGGAAGACAACAGGCTTGGCTTTGTTAGCATTAGAAAGAAGAAAGCAGCATCACCCAACGCTTCTGAGCACTTGAAGAGTCACTTATTTCAAGATACACTGACTGACACTGGTGGTCATGGTAGGAATCACTACCAATTTCTAAAGTTCTATTAGTACAGAGGATTACAGCTCAGTAATAACTCTCACACCTTCATACCAAACCTACTTGTCTCACCCATTAGGCAAAAAGTGGATCAAGGATATCTTATTTCACATGATGAAGTCAAAGGCAATGAAAAGACCCTGAGTAGTGGACCATTTGTTACATGAGCTGCACTGCTCTACAGGCATCCATCAAGGATTTCAGGACCTATCTTTTGTTTCTCTGGCACCTGCTAGATGCCTGAAAGGTTGGTAAGTGATGGATGTGAATCGCGTTCAGACAAAGAAGCAAATACTGAGCTACTGAGGGCTGGGAATGTCTTTCTAGTAGAACTTCATTACCACATCCAAGTCATTTTTTTCACTTATCTTCTTGGAGGAAAAAAAAAGACATTAGAAAGATAGGTATGGAAATATCCTTATTCAAACTGCACTGTCTCAATTTTTTTTTTTTTTTTTTTCCAATGCTCAGGAGAAAAAGAACTTTATTTAGACATTCTTTGGTTTAATAATGTTATCCTTGCTTTACCTATTTTCACAAGGTGAGCAAGATCTGGATGTAAAATTTTTCCACCATAGGGGATTGGATATAACTGCTTCAGACACCAAATCTATTGCACTCAATCCCAGCTGCTGTGGGCCTTCAAAGCATGGTCTAGGCCACTTACTTTACTTACATCAGGACTGGAAAGTTCACACCACCACCCAGAATCTCCATTTTGATCTGTAATATCCCCTCACACAAATCAGACAATTTGGACAGTGGTTTCAAAACGGATTAGTGGCCTCAGGTTCCTGTACCAGGTTTGTATCTAGGCACAGAAACGTAACGAGCCTTTCCTCCAAGCTCTTCCAAAGTCCTGCTAACAGGAAGGAGAAGAAGATCTTCCTGCCCAGGGCTGTATGCCCAAGATGTACGTAGAACTAAGGCTGCTTTTGAGGTAGTAACATATCTAAGCAGCACCGAGTGTGCTGAGTTATGCCACACAGAGGCAGCCTTTCTCCCAGTTTCAGAAGAAGGTACCAAGGTTCAGATGTACATATCTCAAAAAGCAAAGAAGGCCTGTGCAAATTTTCACTTATTCAGAAATTCAGCTACCATGGCTGCAACTGTTCAGCACCATACCTTGGAATACAGAATTTGCCTCTTGTCCTCTTGTCACTGCAGAAAACACTTCACAGAAGAGGCCACAAGACAAGAGAAAAGTGGTAGAGTACTTGAAAATTCACATATCCGTCTGATGTCTTTGCTGAACACAATCTTCTTGTTTCTGTGCCTATATGACAGTGCTTAATGCTATTTGTTACTGCATGAAATGAGAAAACTGATTGCATAACTTCCCCAAGGTTAAATTAACAATAGCAAATACTGGCAATTTCACCTGAATCTCTTGCTTCTTCTCCTGTATATACACATGTATAAACCTCCAAACTTTCTGATACTCAATTACTTTGAGAGCAGTAAGTCATAAGTTTGTTGACTTTTGTTCTCTTCAGTGCTGGCTGCTGTTTTAATCCAGTATGGGAAGTGCAAGATAACATCCAGACTGTCAGCATGCTGTCAGACCAGATCAGAGGAGCTCACATCATACAAATTTGCTATTACACCTCAAACGCTGCATCTGCTACTGCAATCATCTGAGGATTTAGAAAGATAATTCTCCTGCTCATTCACAAATCCCTGGCAGAAACAACGATCAGAAGAATCCTTTAAGGTTTGGGAAATGGATACAGAATCATCATATTGTAGCCTCAAAGCAGCAGCAGATTAGCCCTTTGGGCTGTATATTTTCATTAAGGATGATGCCAAAGTCTCCCACTCTATCAAGAGCAAACAGCAGAATCGTGCTTCAGATTACACGATGCCTCTAAGGGCAGACCAAGTAATGCTATATATCGGCCTCCAAATGAATCCCTTCTAATACTTACCATATGCTTAGTGATCTCCAGAGTGTTTAAGACTGCATGCAAAACACAATAAGAATACTTTGCACAAACATTCTCATGCTGTAAGAATACAGGGCCCAGGAGAAGTCTGCTTTATTGACAGAAATATGAACAGTGCATCAGCTGTCGGTACATAAATTAACACACATTGTCATGGGTTCTTATGCTACACGTGACCATTAAAAATAACTGAATATGCCCAGCGTGGAAATGAAAATGATTGGAATGCAGGAAGAATGCTTTTGCTCTAATTAATACTTACCTTAAAATTTTTGTCATTAAGTATTTTACTATTCTGACTGAAGCTGCAAATGTCACCATCGTTGTAACCACTGGATAATAAATAAAATTCAAATAACTGGAGCACATAACTGAAAAATGATGTATTTGCCTTTTATTTTGGTCACCAAAACTAAGGTTCCCCCTTTCTCCAGCATCCTTCATGCACTTCTCCAAGCACTACAGCTCAACATGATTCATCTACAGAACTCAGTCTTTAAAACATCTCTGATGATCTTTTTCCAAAAAGCCAGAAGTCAAAGATAGTGGAAATGAAATGTTAGGTTAAAAAAGCACATTGGTTAAGGCTGGCTGTAGGCTCAAGAACTATATGTGTGAAGGACAGTATTCCTTTTGGTCAGCCATCCTCATCAAAGAGGAGGAGATGGAGTGCTTGGCAATCCCAGCCATGTAGTCTAGTTTCTCAATAACCTGTCCTGGATACACAAAAATCCCACAGACAAAAAGAAAATGCATCTTAACACACACAGAAGCTCTGACAGCCAGAAGGCTAACAGTAATTTAAAGAAAAAGAAAGGGATCAATTAATAACAAACCAAGAATTTATTGATAACTACATAAAAGTTCACTGTGACTCAGGACACTTCCCACTTACCAGAACTGAAAGTGACACAGGTTGGCAAATAATCAGTATGATTTTAAATGTGGATGGATTATAGAAAAAAACAAGGGTCCTTCAGAGTCCTAGCTTCCAACTTAACTCACTTTCTTGTGTTGGACAAAATCAGTGCCCCAGTTTGCACTCAATACAGCAACATAAGTGCAGATAGGATTACCTGTCAGACCCTAACAGGCACCACAATGCCTTGTAGAATCCATTGAGCATTTGTGGGGGAAGAGGATGAGCTGGCAAATAGATTGTAGGTGTTCAAAAATACATTAAAAATCCAACTATACTTTGCAATTCAAGTACTTCAACTAGAAAGCAAAAGCCTTGACAATCCTGTCGTAAATATGCACAAATAGATTTGCATTGAGAAAGTAAATATACTTGAAGTTTGAAGGCCAGAAATCTAAGTGGTAACAAGTTCCTAAAGTGCCCCTAGTAAGGAGAAAGGTGGACCATATGAAAGCAGGAAAACTCTTATTTGCCTCAGAGGAATAGTTAAATCTGTCAATAATATTAGATACTTCTCCTATTCTTTTTTCTTCTTCTAATAAGGCATTATTTTCTAACCCGTATTGTCAGCTAATTAAATTAAATTTGCATACAATTCAAATAATTACAATCACTGAAAAGCATACAACCCATCACAGTTACCCACTTAGCACTGACACTTGATTATCAAGTGTACTATCACACAACAGCCAGGTCAGCGAATACGCACTCTATGAAGCTAAGAAATATAAAACCTTTCCACTCCATTTCTAATCACAGTTCTACCATATCACAATAGTTTATAACATTTCTTATTTTATTTTTTTTCTCCTCCTCAAGCAGAAGACCTCACCACCTCTCTGGGTACGTGTGCCAGCCTTATGTCACCCGCACAACACAGAAATGCTTCCTGGTGGGCAGAGAGAACCTCCCGTATTCTAGTTTATGCCTAGCAAAAAGGAGTCTTCTCAGTCTGTCTTGATCTTGAAGTTGAAGCAGTAAACACAGTTAAATTAGACTTGCTGGCTGTTCAAAAGTGCAGTTTGACTTACAGAGATCAGTAATACCATAACAAGATTAGGACCATGGAGAGGGCTTGAGTCAAATAAGCTGCAAACATTCAGTTGCCGAAGACTTGGAATCTACTTGAATATCATTTTCTGATAAAAATGAAGTTGAGAAACCTTATATTGCAGCTACCAGTTGCAGAACAATCTGCCCAATTTCCATGGAAAGGAAATACATTTGAGCATGCTAAGAAGGTAGCCTCCTAAAGCTGCTTTTTGATTTCAGTGACATAACCAATGATGAAACTCAGAAGCATCATTTCAGCCATTTAGGGCGTGTCTCATAAGAACCAAAATAATCAGACCATATCTGATCAATAAGTCCTTCCTTCTGGAGAAAAGCCACAGCACAGTGCCTATTAAGAGCTGAGCCTCACCTTATTATCAGGCCCAGAAAGTGTAAATAGTTGCAGATGTGTAATTGACAAAAGCCACTCATTACCTCCTTTTAAAGTCCTCCCCATACACAGCTGAGGTGTGTTTGCTTATCTGAGATGTTCTGAAGTGAGAAATTGTCAGGTCTTATGAAATGGAAGGAGTGTTGAGATATTTTGAGGTTCTTTTATTCTCAGTGAAAGCATTAAGTAATTTTTTTTTTTTTTTTTTTTTATTGTGGATTGAACATTTGATACAAGATCAAAGACTGACTTGGAATCAAAAAGGCAACTTGCTTCCGTATCTTTCTGCTATCTAAGACAAGGTAAGCTTGGCCTGAAAATAAGTAGGGGGCGTTGGTTTTCTATTTTTGTGGTAATTACATGAAGCAGGAAAAGAAAGCAGAGTAACTGAAGATCATTATTTTATTCTCTGTATAGAAAGATGGTATAAAATTGAGTTTCTCAATTTAGTGTTTTGTGTTTCAACTCAAGGAAATCAGTATACCTTTCTAATGAAAACCAGCATTACATTGCACTCAATTTTGCAAAAGTGATAGTTTTCAGTAACCAAGTAGAGTTAATTCCAACAGACTTCTGCATCCCTACTGCCTGGAATGGATACAAAGAAGTACCTGGTAATTCTGGCTCTCGAGACGTTCCTTGTAAGTACCTGTAGACATAGCTCTTTTCCACCTAATTCCCAATAAAAAAATATCAAATCTACTGTCGAAAGTTACACTTGTAATGAAAATGAGTTCTCTCTCTCATTTTCCCCATGCTTGCCCACTCATCAGTGTCCATTCTCAATCTGCTATATTTTTGTTAGTTACAATCACTTCACTGGGACAGAGTCTATTTTTTGTTCTGTGATGCACAACAGGATGATCCATGGTTAAAGTTCACAGGTGCTATAATAATAGATAGAGACAAAATAAAAAACATGCATTGTTAGGGCATGAATCAACCAGTGCGTGTTCTCACAGTGATATTTTGCATGCAAAGTAAAAAGCTGTCTGGAGCACAAAAGGCATCCAAATTAACAATGTCACCAGCAAGCTAGTGCTTGTACTGGATCCAAAACCTTAATATGTTTGACTTTGAAATGGCTAAGTTCATCCTCTAACTATCAAAGCTTGCAGCAGACCCTGGGAACATATTGTAAATTTACTGTTCTGACAGATGATTGTGAAGATGAGGAAATGATCCAGAAAAGTGGCATTGATTTTGAAGAGCAGAGGAATTTGCCAGTCACTCCTTGTTGCTAAGCTGCAAGAAAAAACCCTCCATCAGCTCTCAGCACGTCACTCACAAATATCAGTGGGACATGGTATTTACAGTGTTTGTGTAAAGCCCCAGGAATGGTTTAGACTACATCCTTCCACTTCAAGCAATTTGAATGAGATCTTAAATATCAGGATCCTCTTCACTTGGTTGCACAAAATGAATTGCGTAATCTTTTCCTTTGGGAGCACATTCCTTGTGCTCTGCATCTGTAGACTATGATCCATTTATACAAATACAGGGCAAAGATTTTGCAGAAAGGGAAAGTTACATGACCTGTGCAATTCTCTTATGTACCCTGCAAGCTTGTGGCTTTTTGGATCCTCCTTTCACTGATGACCCTTTAGAGAGTTAAATCTCAAATCCCAGCCTGGAATTTATTAAGAGTTGAATGGTGAGATTCATCCAGCACAAAACTGTTTACGGCAAGCTTGTGTAGAGAAAAAGACTAGCTGGTCTATTTTTTGCCTTGCTCTAAATATTGTCATTTATAACAAAGCCGACTGATGCCTTTTCCTCATGTTCTCTATGTGCCCAGAACATCAGACACTAGACACGCTTACCAGACTTCAACATAGAAATTTTCCACTTGCTTTGTATCCAGGGGAAGGAAAGCATTGGCTGCTTCACTAACACAAAATATTTAATGCCTTCACAGAAGAATCCCAGATGATTGAGGGGGGGCAAGGCTTCAGGATTTCAGGGTAAATGGTGCTCAGGTCTGTGGAGTCCATGTATGAAGTCTGCTCAGAAGTTAAGGCCTCCAATTTATTTCCATGGAAATGACAACAGATGCAAAGAGCACAATAACACTACTTGATAGAGCAAATTCTCAGCTACAAAACGCTGTTTTTAAATGGAGTCACCACCATTAGCTATGTATTTTCACCAGCAGTGAACAAGAAGCTGCATGTCATGCTCATATAAACCTGCACCAGTGGAGGTGACCCACTGTCATTGTCACCACTGCTGTGCTCACATCCACTGTAGTTTCCATAAACATTCAGCAACCATTGACAAATATCCATGGGTGCCAATGATTCCACATGAAAGAATTCAACGACACCCCTTTGCTTCATATGCACCTCCATGTCAGACACCGTTCTGTCAGACTGTCCCTCTGCTGCCATCTGTCACACGGCAACAAAATGTAAATGGAATATGGGTGGGAAGATTCAGCCTCTTCTGCTGTACCACCACCATCTGCCTCTGTCATCATGGGCCAACGTCATAAATTAGGAGGCATTACTTTCAGTGCAGCTTTTGTCTTTACAAAAAAAAAGTGCCTGAGGCCAATGAGAAATCTAGTGATAAAGAATAAGATGTAAATCCACAGGTTTCTTTTGAGATAGACCTGGACTTTATGCAAACATATTATCTCATTATTATCTATAACATGTACTCTTCATCATTGCTACTAGCTTGCAATAGCAATTTAAAGCATTAATCTCTGAGCACTGAAATAAAGGCTTCCCTGCACAGCTTTTTCTTTTCCCCCTCTTCACATCTCTAACCCCAAGGTTTACAACTCGACAACTTTCCGCAGGCTGACAAAGTCATTTGTCAGTGATTTAACGAGTGGAAAGCAGAGGTACAAAATTGCCAAAAGATTCATTCGTTACCCTACAACACTTCAGAGGTAGAGCAGATTATGAGATGATAGAACACTATTTTCAGGAGCCCTGACTTGCAGTCAAGAACCCTTTCCTTCCTGCTTTCCTTCTAAGGTTTCATTTTTCTATTTTGTTTCAGTTGTTGTCTGGTTTGGGGGAGTTAAAACACTCCTTTTTAAGAACTAATACTAATAGTTTCCTGCCTAATGTCCCCTGTAACAGAAAGGAATCTGTACTCTATGCCACTCTTTTAAAGTACTATGGAGGAAGGAAACACATGCTTCTAATAATTTTATAGATGCAGTTTGCTTTCTGGCCAGTCTGCATCCTTTTTGTAGCAGAGAATACACCTTCAAAGGGAGGCAAGAGTTCTAAAACCCAAAGTACAGCACTCCATCTTGGCAAAAGCAAGGCAGTTCAAGTTCTGAAGGCAGGATTATGTATCAGCTTGGAAGATATAAGGGTTTTTTTTTTCTTCATAAGAGGATAAAACCAAGCCACCTAAAGAAAGAGGATGACAAGCCCAGAGCAAATATTGTGCATGACTAACAGAGATTTCAAATGATCTCTTTCTTTTTCCCCAGGGCACCCTGTGCCTCTGCAAAAGGCATTTTGCCATACATCTGAGATACAAGCCAGAGTGGATGGCAGAGTTTTCACAGAAGGGCACTGGATGATGCCCACAATTGCCTCACTCCCATCACCTCCAGTTGGATGGTCTTGTCTTCATTTGCCTCTGGTCTCTGGTACAACTCCAGTGCAGGGGCAGAGCAGGAAGGAGAGGTGATGAGGCAAGTCAAAACTGCCTGCCAAGCTCATTAATAAAAGCTGCCTGAATCAAAAGTGAAAGCTTTGGTTCCACTTGAAACAAGGATGGAAAAGGGGCTGAATACCCCTTCTTTTGTGGTGCTGTTCAGAGAATCTGGACGGTCCACACATCAACAGAACTGAATGGAAAGGGCGTAGGAACCAGATGCTGTGATATTTTTGGATGCAGTCATGGATCAGGCCACAGTGCTTAGCAGCTCCTGTCCAAAGTTCATTTCTGAGGGAACAGAACACCCATCAGGCACATGTTTACTGGCTTTCTACCAAGTCCTGTGCAGTGCATAAAACAAGAGCTTTTCTAAAATTGGTTTGGCTGCTTCGATTTTCTTTGTTTAAATCCTCTTACCAAAGTTCACACTGAATTACATTCTTACTGCAGAACCAAAGAGCCTGCAAGTAAAACCATTTAATGATACTGGAGGTTGATTTCCCAGTTTTGTTCAGTGGCCGGTTGTTCAGTGGTTTATTTTTCAGGGAATTATTATCTGCTTATTTTCTCTTAGTCATTCTGGATTTTTTAAGATTATTTTTTTAATGTAGGAAGAACATTTCTGCTGTAATTTTTCTTACGTTCTTTGAGATGAATGCAGCAAAGAGCCACGATGTGTCTTTTGTGTCATTCACAAGGAATCACAGCAAATTCACCTATAGGATTAGTAGCTTTCTTGGTAATCAGAAGGTGCATGGAGGTACTAAGAGCAGTTTTTCACTTGACTTTTACATCTAACACAATCTACAGAGTTTACTATTAAGGATCACTAACATCTGAGTGTTAACTGATAGCTGTCTGAAAAAAAAAAAAAGAGTGAAAGAGTTAGCCCATGAAGGGAACCAGTTCTTGATATCCCATTTTCCATGCAACATCATTCTTCTGCAGAAGTTATGATCTCTTGTCACACACTGAACCACTCAGAAAGGCAGAGTTTTGTAAATAACCTGTTCAGTTTATCTAGCCACCTGTTACACCATCCCACAGCACACTCCACCAAAAGAAATATTCAGTAGTGTGGCTTTCCAGACCTCAGGTGGTATTGACTTTTATCCTCTAAAATCTCATATTTTCATAAGACAAACTTTTTAGCCTGAAGTTTCTTTTTTATTGTTTTTTTGTACGTGCTGGCTTTGTAAAATTCCCTTTAAACATCCATCCACTGGATGGAGGTTTGGATAGTGTCAGGGCCTCACTGCCCTCTGAGTAAAGAACTTCCTCCTAGCATCTAACCTAAATTTCCCCTCTTTTAGTTTAAAGCTGTTCTTCTTTGTCCTGAAGTCTATCTTCCTCCTGTTTGTAAGCTTCTTTTCAGCACTGGAAGGTCACAGTGATGTCTCCTTGTGTATGGGGACTTTGGCCACTTTGTCACTTGTTACGATCTCTGCTGTGCTGAAACTGAAACAAATTTCTTACTAAAATTCTCACCAAATTATAAAGATCATCCTTTCATCCCAGAAATGATTTTCAGATTCGGGGTGAAATGAGCTAATGGACGAGTTGGACCGCAGAAGATGAATGTGGGAACAGGGTTGGTGCAGTGGGGAGACTTTCCTGACTGCTTGTACTGAGATATTATGCCAGCTACTCTGTGTGTCTGAACACAGGACAGATTTATTGGTGGCTGAAGAGGGCTTAAGAAGTCTCTAGCACTCTTTGACCCCAACCCATGCAACCACATTACAGTGACAGTTGTGTAGTGCTCAGCCCTTAGCAATTTAGGTCAAATCTGCTATGAATCATGTTTCTTTCTCTTCTTGCAAAGGAGTGGTGCTAGAGATATGAGTGTATGAAATCCTATAAAATATCCCACAGCTGCCCTAGGGGAGGCTAAAGATCAGATCATAATTATCTCAGTCAGCACGCTGAAGGCAAACAAAATGCTTACTCCTGAACTAGAGATTATATATGCATCTTACATGCCAATGGGCTCTTGTTCAAAAACAGGAGTGAATATCAGAACCTAACCCAACCATGAAAAGAAACAGTAAAGGATAAGAAATCTGCATCTACTTGCTAAATTTGTAATGCAAAGGATTCCCTAGCCCTGCATCTCCTATGCTTTCAGGCTCCACACTAGCTTTGGCTCAGAATACTTTCAGCTTTGCTGCATACTGGTGCTCCAAGGCAGCCTTCACAGACATGTCATATGGCTCTCAAACATGTTGTGACTGGAAAGACCTTTTTTTGGCAGGAGAAGATATTACTGAAAAGTGAAATCTGAAATGTTATCCTGTCAAAGAGCTAATTCACAATTGGCAAGGATGTACTGAAAGCTACAGAACTTTAATTTTAATAGTATATTCTTCATTGACCAAGCTAACCAAACTTGATCAGCACCACAAGAGAAAGCACAAATGACCGAAAAGAAATAACTGTGTTCCATGATCCCTTTCCTCTTCCAAGGGAATGCTGAAGGCTCCTCTCCTTGTTGGGAAAGGGAAGATGGTCATAGAAAATTAGATAACTAAACCACGAAAATGAAAATCCCCTGTCCACAAAGAATTAGAGGGGAATTCAGTGCTACAAGAGATACACGTGGAATAGATAAATAAATAAAGAAATGAAATCAAAGACTTTTCAGTGAGTATGCAGCTTTGTATAAGCTCAATCACAGAAACAAATTTTAGCCCCATTTCATCCAATTCAAAGCAAGAAAGGAGAAGAAAATCAAGAAAAACCTCTCCTTTTAAGTTTATATATTTTAGGTTTCAAGCCTTTTCAGGTTTTGGAAACCATGCAAGAAATGTAACAAAGGATCTGCTTGAACATTTCGATTGAAATATTTTTCATGTGTATGTATTTTGAGTCCTGAGGTTACAGATGATACACAGCAATCAGTGAAACTGAGATAGGTTGCAGACTTTTTCTGCTTGACTGAGAGCTCAAGGCAAAAACGGATTCAAGACTGGAGCACATAAGGGGGATGTATTTGTATGGAGGGACTGACCCCACACACCTGCTCATTCACTGCTGCTTAACAGAAGAAAGAAAGCCTCACGGGGAGTTTATAATTTAGAGACGTCATGAGAAATCCACTGCAGTCAATGAAAAAGTGGTTACTGCAGTATTTGATCTAATAGCTCTGTGCAGCAGTCTGAGGGGCAAATTGGAACCTAAGGTGGATTTATCTAACTGAAGTTTGGACTTGTGAAAGTTAGGATTCTGATCTAAGTCAATCACAGGGTGCTCTGTGTGTTCACCAGAAAAAGGCTGGTGTGATTTACCAAGCTTCTTTAAGACAGATGTTCTAAGGTATGATCCCCTCTCTAAGAACAGATCTCTGTGTACTATGGGGAATGTGAAGAAACAGCTTAATATAAACACATCCAGCTGCCCTTTCTCAAATATTTCAGGATGTTTTCTGATTGTTCCTGCTTGGGATCACAAGGTAGTTCACGTCTT